CTTCTCAAAGAATGTTTCAAACAACATTTCACGCCGCATTTGCAACAATTGTGTGATATGCAATTTCTACTTTTTCGGTATTTTAAACACATGATGCAGTTTCCTGTTTTTCTTTTCTTCATCAATTCGTTTAAAACAACTACTTTATGAGTTGAAATACTCAAAAAAGAAAAAACTGCAGATCTCGAGTTTCTATTAACTTTTCTCTTTTGTATATTTTCACTCACCAACTTCATTGCAAGATTTTCCAACTCTTTATCCTGTTTACCCTACGATTTCCGTTAAATATTTTCTGAGCTTTTATAACAGTGTAAATGTTATTAAACGCAAAACCAAGTAGATACCAAAACATTGCAAGTGGCCAGCGTCTTGTTGTTCTTTTCATCTCAATCCGTTTGGCCATTTCGTCTACAACATCAACACCTCCCATGTATTTGTTATATCTGTGGTTTACATTGGTTCTAATCAAATCAAGGTAAGTTTGTTGTATATTCGAATTATAGTTAATTGGTGCCTTCTTTTCAATTTGGACAAGATGAACTTCTGTATCTGGTGTTGACAGAATTAACACATTTTTGTTGTGTTCGATAAGGCTACTTAAAGTAAACCCCTCTTCGGTTTGGCCAATTATTAGAGACCCATTTTCTCTTTTTTCTTTTGTTTTAAGAATTTTGGGAACTTCTTTTCTATTTGCTTTGATTGTACCTACAATACCAATTGCTCCATTTGTTTCCAATTGAAGTATTTTACCAAGTTCAATGGAAGTAAAAAAACGATCAGTGTAAACAGTGAATGTTTTTTCTCGAAAAGGCTTTACCAATTCTATTACTGCTTTTGTTCCCAAACATTCAACTGTTTTTCCATTGTTGCTTCCTCTATAAAGAAATATATTCAAAATGGTGTTATTCGTTGGATCAACAAGTAGATAAAATTTGAAACCGGATTTGGCGGGTTTGTTTGGCATTTTCATTTTGTTTTGATATTTTCCAAAAAAACGAGACAGGTTTTCATCTACAGATAATTCTGATGATATGACAATTGACCTCCCGAAAGATAC